ATATGGAGCAGAAACATTAAAATAAAATTGTAATGCGCTCAGTTTTCCGATGCTTTGAATGGCAAACATATAGTAAATGCTACAACGTTTTCTACTTAGTTCATACAGGAAGAGAAAACTTGTGTAAGATTAATACCCTTCTTATTAAAGTCTGATTTTTTATCATATTCGAGCTTTTGACGTATCTCATTCAAAGCTATTTCGCTATATACTCAACCACCATTATAAACTCTTGTAATTTGTCCAGTCTATCAAGAAATTGGTTATTACTTGGGTTTCTGAGTCGACATTGTGAACTGAGTTTAATATCTCATTTAAAGATGACTTATTTTTCGTATCTCTACCATAGTTTTTTAGAGGAATGGGCTTTAACATACTAAATGAATGCAATGACTTTTGATATGTGTGAGCAAAAGCTATATGTTAAGTGTTTTTGAGACGTCTATATTAGTTATTTCTGGGACGTATACCGGATTTCCACGGGATTCCATGGATTCCCGGGATTCCCACGAGATTCCCGGGATTTCCACAAGATTTCAGGGATTCCCGGGATTCCCATGGAATCCGGAATCCCGGGAATCCGCCGTTTCCCCCTTGCATTCTGCTGTCTGTCTATACTTTTCCGTATCTATCTTGCTTGAAAAGCTTGAATTTTCTCGTTTTATTTTAGGTGATATATGGTTATCATACGTTATAACAGGTGTACTGTATTTAGTGACCAATAAAAATTTAGTTTGGTCTCATAAGGAAGTAGTAGCCTTCTATAATACTCTTGAAAATCCAATTGAATTGATTGATACAACAGGTGGTACATTTAGAAAATTTTTCGATTTATTAAAGCATGTAGTTGAAGTAAAATTTGTTATTGATTGTTATCATGAACTGGTGCAGCAAGAAAACCAAAATGTGACATCGGATCAAGTTAGATATTATTTGGGCGTGATTGTCGATAAATTACAACGTGAACTGTACGTTGGGGTATTACCATCAAATTATTGTGCTCTCACTTGTTTCGATTGTCAAATTCTACTTAATGGAGCACAAAACTCTCTGTTTTATCATATGGTAGATATGATTAAGTAAGTACAATGAAGAAAATATAGAAGTCAAGTCGGATTTTTTTCGTTCATTCATATATAATTCGAGAGTTTGATAAATCGATCCCAAATATGAATTTTTACTTCAATTCTTCTTGTGTATTTCATTCACTTTACTTATTAAACTCAAAATTCAACAAGAGAAGCTTTGAAAACTATACCTAGAATACTTACAGCTGCTACTAATCAGCACTATGAGCAAAGTTAATGATTATTTTCTTTACAAAGCTGCCCCTCTTTTGATATTTCGTAGTTGAATAAGACGAGTATCGAAAAAGCTGATTAACGTGCACAAGCGGTTTGAAGACAAGTATTAGTTAAGAAGTTCGTGTAAAAGAAAACAGAAGTTGTGTTAATTATCCTTATTTTTTTCTTTTCTCAGATATATTTTTGTTTGCTTTTGGTCCTATTTGGCATACTTACTCTTGCATTCTTATTTTTTCTACGGTTCTCACAAGTGTCTGTTCAGACTATAAAAAAGTATTTTTTTACAAAAAAGGCAGGTACGCTGTTGAAAATGCATGTATACAAAAACATTACTTACACATTTTTTTAAAGTCAAGTAAAAAAGCGGAAATCTTTGAAAAAGTCTTCGATTCATATAGACTTCATCCGCGACTTGATTTTATAAAGTGATCCCTTATATTGGCGATTTTTCTTCAAAATTTGAATTGTGATTACTACAGAAAAATTGATCTTCATAAATTAGTCTATAAGAAAGAAGGATTGCTTAGAAATCTCTAAAGCCTATGCTTTACATAAGATTCTGTCTTTGAATATTGTTGATCCACTTGCATATAATATACAATATAGATTTTAACATCTTCCAAAATAGAATAGCAGGAGTGAATTAAACGAGTTTTTCCTTTCTAGTTGGACATGGAATTTATCATCGGATACAGATACACAAGTGCAATACTGGGCTGCATTACTAATAATCATACTTCACGAGATATCTCATATTATGTGTCGCATGGAAATTCCATCAGGATATAATATTATGACCGCAACAACACCTCAAAAACTGTTAAACGGCAAACATATTAAGGAAACTGGTAACCAATTAGAGTTTCTGTTATTTGGTGGAATTGCAAAATCAATTGGTGACCTTGATGCTATATATTTATTACAACAAACCAGTTGGGATTTATCAAGTGTTGAAGAATTTCAAATACAATTTAAAGATCGAGTCAACAAAGATATTTTCGAACAAACAATGGAGAATCAATCGAATCGTTTGGAACTACCAGGAAAACGTGATGAATTAGATGTTCCTGAACGTGATGAACATGATTATGATAATCGTATCAACATTGGCGGTTGTGCAACGAGTATTTATCAACCACATGTGTATTTATTTGATGAATCAAGAAAATCTAACAATACACTTCTTGTTCTTTTTTCTGCTTGTTTCAGGTCGTTTTATGACTGATTTTGACTGCCAGGAAAGACAATTACAATTGAATTCTTAAGTAAACATGATCAAAAGTAAAACTCCCGAAGAAATTTGTCGCACATTTAATGGCAAATATGATTTCACGCCTCAAGCGGTTTCATTTTGTTAAAATTTGTTAATAGAGAACGTATATTATTTTTCTTTTTTTTTCTATAGGACAAACAAACCAAAAAAGAAAACGAATGACACGAAGAAAAATAAAGTTGCAAAAAAGAGCAAAAAATTTGACATTATCTTCGTTTTTGTGTCATGTTTCTTTTTCTTCTTCTACTTTGTCACAGTTAAGTACCTTGAAGTTTTGTGAATGCATTTCTCGTTTGTTTTTTCCTTTTGTACTCTATAACAACCCTTATGTCAATGAGATTCTTTATGTATCTTTTTTGTTCTTTGGAAGTTTGTAAAATAAAAATTTCTTCATACCAGGTTAACTTTTCGCCATATTTCCAATGAACTAACAAATATTCGTCGTCATACAGTTCCATCACAAATATTTTCTTTTAATACAAAAAGAGATTCAACTTCTCTCACAAAACCATCAAATGAAATAGATTAGTAGCAACAAAATTCATCAACAATTGAGGTTTCTTCAATATCGTCATTACCAACAATTCATTCATCCTCGGATCAATCCACGTTACAACGATCAACATCATTAACGATTGATCTATCGTCGTCTTTTTCTTTTTCATGTTGAAAAATCGATCGATCAATATCAATAAACAATCTGTATAGAAAAGGAGATCAGTTCACTAGATGAGTATACTACAGTTAAAATTTGAAAATTCTCAAATAAATTTGAATCTAATAATCTTGCACCATAGTTACGAACATAACATGAATTAAAAAGCGACTGACATAATGTAGCGATTGCTATGTTAAGCTTTGATGTCGTGTACTTCAGAAGAACAGAAAAAGTGAAAAAAAGAATATCATTTACTTTTCATCGTTCTGTTCTTTCTAAAACATTCAAAGAAATGTCAAATAAAGCTGTTGAAAAATAATCCTTGGCAGTTATTCTTAATATAACATTACCTATTACTTTTTTTTTGAAATTCAACAAAAACTTTAAGTGAAGTATTAAATTTGTGAATAAAAATTTTCATCACTATAACATATATGTTCTCATCTAACAGATTATCCACTAAATTGAGTTTGATTTTTGTGTGCATATAAATCTGATTTGGTTTCTCTAGTATCCGAATCCATGCTTTGATTTTTTTCTATGATTAAAATCTTAAAAAATTAAATAAAAAAGATATTTCTTTTAAAATCCTTGCCATAATCAAATGTATGAGTTATTATTGAAAATTAAAGAATTTATAGTACTTAAAAATGATTTATTTATCACTCGACAAAAACAAATAGTAAATAATTTCAATTCTACCATCAATTAGAAATAGATTTTTGATTGTGTTTTACTAATAAGAAGTAAAAATTTATTTGTAAAACATCGATGCTCAACGGAAAAAACACGATTTTTGAAATTCTTAACATTTTATCAAAAACTAATTCAAGACTATTATCTTCATAATTTGAGTTTGAACATTTCATAATACAAAATATATTGCCAAAAAATCCAGATATAGAATTTCAGTAGCTGCAGTTTTTTCATCAAACGAAAAATTAATTAATTAATTTTTTCTTATTGCTCTAAGCTTTTCATTATAACTATAAAAGTCTTGATAGGGATGTTCTCTTCGACGATTAGCCCAAGATGAAAAACCACTATTTGATAAAATTGATGTTTGACATTCGCCTAAAAGATAAAAATCAGCAATAGCTTTAATAAATCCATCACATAGAGTCGATGATCGCCGATCAAATCGATCTATATGTAAAATAGGACCAACAATCGTCATCGATGAATTTGGATAATGCTGTAGAACATCTGATACAGCTTGACCACTATCAGATGTAACAAAAATTACTGGTAATGATTTGTTTAATATATAATCATCAGTAAAATCTATCATAGCTTGTGTTGTATTTACTCGAGCTGTAAATGCATGATCAAACGGATTTGTTGGATTTTTACCAACACGAATATGTAAACAAAGAAGATGTCGATGATAAACATTAGCTAATATAGAATCAACTCGATTACGAACAAGAGCAGAAGGTTTGAAAAGAAGTTCAAAAAGAAGATCAAATAGGGTTTGCATTGTGGCATGTGATAATGGCATTGAACCGAGTAACTGTCGAGTTCTGTTTTTCATGTAATTATTACGAAGTGCTGGTGTCATATAGTCACCATTTGTTGATATCGATATATCATCATATTCTGACCAAACTTCAACGAAATTCTTTGATTTAATTATATCTGATATTTGACCTCGATACGCTGTTTGCCATGAACGCATCGTATTAATATTCAGTTGACTTCGATTTTTTGATTTATCATATTTAATATGGGTCCAATTAATATAATTCGGTTGAACAACTTTCGAAATTTCACAAGGATAATTCATATCAATCATAAAACGACGATTTGCTAATAAAGCAAGAACATAAGCAGACATAATGCCACGTAAACGGTCACCCCAACCACCACAAAACGATTGACAAGAATAGATTATTGTTTTGTTCGATAAATGATTTGTTTTGAATGCTTCTATATTTAATAATGAATGATATTTTTTAAATAATCTGTCAAGACGTGCATTATTTCGACTTAATAATGTCCATGGTTTGGTTACGATAGGATTTTGAATTCGAGAAACTGATTTTACAGTAGAATTAGTAATAATAATACTTAGTACAAAGATCCATAAAATACTTATAACAATCATAAGAGTGAAATACCAACGCCTCATCAGTCTATAAAAAAAATAACTATTATGAAATAAATCTTTTCATATGATTTTACATACGTAGCAGAACAGCTGCAGAATGTGATCAAAATTACCTGCAATTATTCTTCTTACATTCGTTTTTTCGTTCTCTATTCTCAGTTACTACGCAAACACTGGAGAAAAAGGTTTTTTTTTTACATTACAGAACTTCTGTTATGCAGTTACTTAAAAAACAAAAAAGAATATATACAATTTGCTCCGGGCACCAAGGTACCTTTTGTATGAACTACAATATGCGAGTTCAATCATAAATAATATTCAACTGCTTCCGATCAACTCGAAACTATATGAAAGCTATGGATTCTCACATTATTGAATGATTCCAATAGATACGAGTAGATTTGAATTTAGCTCATTTGTAGTTATAATTTATAATTCATAAGCATCTGAATAGACATACACTAACATGTAAACCTAAGCACAAGCCACGAGGTAAAACAGTCACGGTCGTTTACAACCATGTATGGAGGAAAAGACGGCCGTTTATGACCGCATATGAACTCCGTAAAACTAGACCTAGGCTGGATTGTTCGAACTTTAGCTTAAATGAACCTCCATCATCGAAGGATTCCTTCGAAGATGGTTGGTACACAGTTAACATAGCATTGGTTTCGATTGAAAAAATAGTAACTGGGTTGTACCGGATAATTGAGATCTAGTTGTGGTATAATTAGCAAGAAAAAGAAAAAATGATGAGCTTGAGTGTGATGTATGAAATTAAGGTCTAATTGAGGTGGCTATTTTGAGTTTGAACGTGTGATACTTGCAATTGACACCCACAGGCTCACGTAAACCTTGAGAGAGATGCACTCTAACCCACCTCACAAAACAAATAATTGTGCAGTAATATTTTACCCATTTGAAAAATCTGCTCAAAAAGTTCTTGCAATATAAAAAAATACATCCAGCCTTACTAACATTGCATATTATGATGGAAATTATTATGTCGGAACTTCTGCAAACACTATTCTTATCATCAATGGCACCAATCTAACTATCATTAATACTATCTACTCGTCGAGTCTCAGTGGACCGCGTGACATGACCTTTATGGACAATGGATCTATCATGATTGCGGCATCCACTGCTAATAACAGGTTATTGATCTTCAATAGAACAAGTGTTGCACCATTAAGTTACTCATTTGCTTATCAATTACCTGTCAGCTATGCAGATCCACATGGTTTCTTGCGAATAAATGATAGTTTCCTTTATGTGACATCATGGTTCAATAACACTGTCTATTCTTATAATGCACTAAATCTTTACAATATGTCATGGACTGAGACGTTCGATTTCAGCGCGATACCAGTAGCGCCACCAAGTAATGGTAACCATATTCAGATTGATGAATGTGATCGACGTTGGTTTTCCTTGGGAAACTACGGTATTAAAATATTTAATAGTTCTGGCAGTCCAATTGGAAGTTTCACTCTGGCGAATTTATCAGTTTTTGACTCATTGCTTACGGATAACTACGGCATATACTTGTCGGATATATCATCTAAAAAGAATCATTCATATTGATCCCAATATGGATTGTCAATATTAGTTGCTTCAATACAAGCGCAAAAATAACTTGAATTGTATGTCGAATCATATCCTTTGATATTTAGAGTCGATGTATCTAAAGCGAACGGGCATCATATAGGTGTTCATTCTACTTTGTATATCGCCATCATTTTACTTCATAAAATTAATTTTTTCATATCACCGGAAAGAGCACAAAAATTCACACATTCCCATGTAAAAAAATATTTTTGTACTGTAAGAATCATTGAGTAATGAGCGGTAGAAAATGAAAAATTCGAAAACGTTCGCTTTATGTGCACGTCCCTAAAGCGAACGCTAAGCAAAAATATGTTCATAAAGCGAACGGGCCAGCGAAGAACAAGCAAAAAATAACAGAAGGCGGAATTCATTCATTTCTGCCTGATAATTTCAATTAAATAAAATGAATTTTATACCATTCGATTCGTTACTATCAGCTCTATCATTCTCTAGCGGTTCAACTTAATCGATGCTTGTTTCAAATTTTTATTAAAAAAATAAAAAAACATTCGACGTTCGCTTTATGTGCAGTACACATAAAACGAACGTCCAACAAGAGAAGACACATAAAGCGAACGCTCCAGCTATTTTAGCTGGAGATAACCCCTCCTTCATTATTTCACTCATTTACCATAGATTGATATCAAAATTCACAAAAACTTCCGGTGGCAAATTTGTTCAGAACTGTTCCAGCTACAACATACTAGCGGTTCAAGCAAAACTGATGAACCATAGATTCCCAGGGATGCAGTTTCTTTCACTATTCATGTTTCAAGATGCGGGATTAGAGCTGCTAAGATCATATTTTATACACAAGCTTTTTTTTCAAAAAGATCTATATCATTAGAATCAGCACAAAATTCTGATCATAGTAAATTATGTTATTTTGAGGAAGCTCAAAAAATATTTTTGACAAGTTTTTTTTTTCGGTGCGGTACCCTACGGGAACGACAAAAAAAAATTTTTTGATTTTCTTCAATAGGCTTTCATTGTGTACGCTATTGATACTCCCTATCACGACTATCATATTCATTTTAATTCAAAATGCAGCTTGAATCCGAAAATAAGTTCGCTTTCAATAGATACCACGTGGGTTCCTTTTGGTTTTCGAATTCATCTTGCATTGTGAACTAAAATGAACATGATAGTCGTGATAGGGAGTATCAATTTTTTTAGAAATAGATGCTTGGCTTTTCAAAACATTTTCTAAAAGATAAATATTCTTTATTAATTATTCTTGACATTGAAATTTTGCAAAAGTAAATTTGAGAAATTATTGACTGATATTTCAAAATACTCAAGATATTGGTAAACATGTTATTTGATTAATATGACATGGTTTTTTTCTGTGTAATACATTTTCTATTGAAAGTTCTTCAAAAAAATTTGTGTTTGAACACCGAAGCATATTGCCATAAAAATATTTAATCACTGAAAAAGCTAATCTGATCATAGGATCGCATCATTTCCTATGAGTGTCACTCATGTCTGCAATCTCACACAAAGTCAATATAGCAATGCAACCTTTTCGACGTTTCATCCTTCTATTTCAAAATGAACATTCCTCCAAACCTGATGGATTTCCAAAAGCGATTCTTTTTTAGTCATTGAATCGACGTCTTATTTACAGAAAACAGTATTGGGTGCTTTTAATGAAACGAGAAAATTTCGCTGTATAAGATTATGATACAGAAAAAGCGTAATGTTATTCTAGAATGATTGAGCCATATGTAAAATCGAGTAGAAACTATTGCAATCGTGCAAACCTAAGGCAAAGCTGAATAAGGGATACAAATTTAGTAGTTAAAGTACGATGAAAATACTATGATGATATTTAAGATTTCGTCTACTTTAAAGAGCAAGCTGCTCGCTACATGATATAGAATTTTGAATATTATCACTACTACATGGAAATATTTAAGATGTAAAACTTATTTATAATATTACCATAGATTCATCTAATAACGTTCAAATATATTCAGTGGAGTTGTTGATAAAAATATTCAATGAACAAATAACGGAGATATTTTCACCATTGAATATCACTACTTGTATCTAATTCTTTACTATGAAAATTCGAACTTGAATATTATTTCATCATATCAAAGACATACAATAAAAACAACTAATCATCTGCAACTAATTAGATATGCATGATGCAACTGTTCATATGTTGATCTTCTTTCTATCGTAACAGAAATAATAGGTATCTGGGAGCTGTATACAAAGTTTTCAATCCAAACTATTTCTTAAAGGTACTAACTATCAATCGATGGAAAAGAAAATTTTTGAATCTAGTATAATATCATGTATGCCTGATGTGTTACAGATTATTAGTTATCTTATTGTATGGCTTTTACATTATAAAATTAGTCTCGATATTTCATATAAAAGAATTAAGCGTATATAATGAGAATTACTGGAAAATTTCTTTATTCTTTCTTTATTCAACAATATGATCGGGAAGTTTGCTGAATAAATTCTAATACTGCTACTTAACTCTGCCTACTGCACTGATAAATTTTGCATCTTAACTATTTCCCCTTAGTCACAATACAAGTATAATTTCTGCATCATGTAGCTTAGATCTTTTTTTAAAGAGTATATAGAATACTGGATAACACTATAGTTCTTTCACTAGTCTTTAATTATTGAATATATATTTCTTGTTAAGTTCTTGCTCAAATTTGTGCAGTGAGCAACTAGACCACTATGGCGTATTTGAGTGAAGATTAAATATTATGTAAAATAAATATACATACACAGCACCGACGAATAGAAGCACACCAACAACCCCTAAAACAGAACAAAATATTGTACTATTATATTAATAATATGTTTAAATACAAAAGACGTTTGTCTTTCTTTCTGACAATATCGTCGAACTACGATGGATGAAATCCTTTCAATTATTATACTTTAGTTATGACTTCTGAATTCTACTTTTTACAATTTTGTTTAGTCAACTATGGATCTCGCTTCTATGATCTTTTTTTCGGCATTTTTCAATGTAAATATGAAGAAGTTAATTATATGGTTTTTAGAGTGTTAATGAACATTCGACGGCTATTGTTTTTATTCTCTTACCATAATAATCTGAATTTTCTTCAGTTAAATATTTGATACTAATAGACATATCGTTCATTTATTTTTCATTCCTTATACTAGTGCTTTAAAATCTTTCGTATCAAACGGTTGAACAAGAAAAAAAATAGATTTGTTGTATTGTACATGAACAGAAAATGATATGATCATGCGAAAGCTCAGTAAAAATGTACAGGAACAAGAGCTATCCATAGTATGGATACTTGTCGGTTCATACAAAAGAAATTTTATTGAAACTACTGTAAAAAACGTTTTGAAATATGATTTGAACTAAATCGTTTTACCTTGGGAACGCTTGAAGTAAAACTTTTAAATATGAACTCAATATATCTTCTTGATGAAGATAAATGGCACATCAATGCCTTTAGATTCTTCCTATATAACATTTTTGTCAGTTTTCATATTAATAACACAGATGCTTTATCAAGTTTGTACTCCACAACATTAACACTGAAAACTTGTAAATATATCGGAAGTGCTCATGTACGAATGAATTAAAAATTTGTTGCCTTTTTTACGATATTGAATTTTTCTTTTTTTTTGCTAACTAACATCGAACATTGATAAATAAACTACTTTCTACAAATTTATTTTAGATCATGGCAATGTTTTTTTCTGATAAAAACTATCATAAAAACTGACTATTATGAAACAAAATTTATAGAAAGTGAATTATTTCTCATCTTTTTATGTTCATGAGTGAAGATGGAAAAAGATAGCAGAGCAAGAAAGCAACCAGCTTTGATTCAACTGATAAAACACATACGTCATATTGAAAAGTTTTTCTAAGGGCTATTCTTTTATTGAACAAAAACTTCAAAGTAAATTTACTGGTCAAACTTATCGATAATTGTCTGTATGAAATTAGGATAGAATTTCATAACAAACTATTTGATATGAAACGATAGTTAATTCTCACGGCAAATAAGGAAAAGAATGAAACTAATTTTAGCGAACGTTTGAGAAGCAAAATCGAAAATTTGGTTCTCAGTGAAACGAGAGAATTGTGAAAAAAGAAATATAAATAAGCATAGAGTTTTGGGCTTTTATTAGAACACTAATAGAATGTTATTCTATTGTTTTTTCTCATTTAAAAAAAATGAATTAATATAGAGAATAACATGCATTTATTCGCAGTTAAGAGATGCAAATAAGAGAAAATCGAGGTTCTACTTCTCTGCCTTATATGTATAATCAATAAATGCTGCACTTACACGAAGCACTAGGACGACTGAATCGTTCAAGAATTTCGTTAAACTATATAGAATTGTTATAGATTTAGTTTATGATTTGCTTATAAAAAATGCTGTTTTAGTTAATATAATGGCCTTATTAATGCATGATATGTTTCATTCGATTAATATCCAAATGATTTACTTTGTTGCATTGCTTATTAAGCTTAGTAAAACGGCGTGACTATTGTTTTTAGCTTTTCTCTTCATTTTATTTTCAAGTGCACATTTTCAGGCATAACCCTTCAAGACCATTTCAACGTGCCAATCTGTTAATCAACGAATAGTGATGATAAATAAAGCAAATGCGATAGCAAAGGCCTGCTTTTTTTCTATTATTTTACAAAATATATACATATAGACAAAAAAAACGTAGGATATCTTAGGTCAGGATTCGCGTATTTTCCAATACGATTCGCCAAATCATCAGACCAAATTGAACAAACATCGGACCAAGGTAGATCTCGACGAGCTCTATCGAACGCACTATTTCTTTTTTTTCCCCAGACCTACCCATCATAGAGAAAAACCCAAAGTACTGCAAAAACTACTACAAAAAAGCCTAGTTTTTCAGAAAAACCTGTCGCGATTCGCTAATTCATCAGACCAAGCTCCAAAAACATCACCCTAGATAGATCT